GCCGTGGTCAGTATGTGGTTGGGAGACAACCAAGAAATACAAGGTTTGCTATACAGCCGCAGGTAATGGCAAACCACCTCTGAACATCTTTTGCTGGGATTTCTGTGTTCAGAGCTTGCAGTGAGTTGTGAAACAAAATTCTCAAGAGTATAGGGGCCCTGATTCAGGTTGGAATCATGACATACCGGGAGAGTGGCCTTGAACTTCTCCTCACCTGAAAAGATCCTGGGGCGCCACTGTTTGCCCCATTGGATGAAATATATCTGTGGTCCTGGACTGCAATTAAATTTTCCCAACAGGGAAAAGAACAGCTGTTACCCAAAGAAGGAGTCTCCACTTAAATTGGAGGGAATTAGCTAAAGGAGACTGAGCGAGAGTCTCCTACATATACCTATGTATATAAGAGTTTAAGAGAACTCTCAAATAAACCAGGCAGATGTTCAACTGGAAAGTTTTTTATTAAAAAGAATAAAACCAAAATGCACACAATAAACTCACACAAGACACATACAAGAGCTAAGAAAGGTAGGGAGGAAAGGGAAAGCTTTTTAGGGAAGAGCGATACTTACCGATCATGACAAGGTCCATGGAAGCAGCAAGTTGAACAGCAAAATGCCCAGCGTTTCAGGAAGTGAGAGAGGAGAGCCCACAGAAAAGCAAGGGTGTGAGGAGGGATCCAAGACACACACACACACTGCTGGGTAGCAGGGTGCCATAGTTACAGGGCAAAACATATAATTAGGCAAGAGTGACGTGCTTGCCAGAAAACAATGACTTAAATGGTTTTTGGAGAGGTAGACAGGGGGGGGGGAAATGTGAGAGCCTTGATGACTCCACAAGTACCGGACTAGAAGGGCAATTGGGAAGGTGAAAAGATTTAAATGTTAATTAATTGTCGCTTAATCAAGGGGTAATGGGTGAAGGGAAGTGAGGCTGGGGTGTTGATGGGATTATGCTGAGTGAATCAATAGTTCCAAGGTGACCCATTGTTCTAATGTCATGCATCTCTCCTGGGCAAGGAGGGAGTAGTAGCCAGCCAGTCGCCCTGTTGCCAGCCAGTCGCCAGTTGCCCTGACTCACATTTTGAAATAGTTTTCCCAGGCTGCCCTGACCTGGATACCTCAGACAATCCTGAACTTGTCAAATCTCAGAAGTTAAGCAGGGTTAAGCAGGGTTGACTTTTGCAAGTACTTAGATGGGAGACCTCCTTGGAATACCAGCAGTCAGGAGGTGGGGGGAGTCTTTATCCAGCCACCTCTCTGTATATCCTCCATGCCCCCAGTAGGAGTCAGTCACCAGAGGTCACCATGACTTCCAGATGCACACACAGTCAGTTACAAGAGGTCGCTGTGACTTCCAGGTGCACACACACTCACTCTCACACATACACTCACTCACACATGAAAAATATCTCCAAAAAAAGAAAAAATGCTGTGAACTTAGGCAGATCACAAGAATGTAGGGCAGGAAGGGTTGGCTCAGGCTGAGCTGGCTGAGACTGAATCCGGTGAAGACGGAGGTCTTGTGCCTGAGTCGGAGCAGTTTAGGGGTGGGATTCCAGCTCCCGACCTTCGTTGGGGAACCACTGGTGCCAGCGTCAGAGGTTAGGAGTTTGGGAGTGCTCCTGGATGCCTCCTTGAGGCCCAGGTAGCAGCCACTGCAAAGTCAGCCTTTTACCACCTTCGGCTGATTCGGCAGTTGGCTCCCTTCCTCGGCCGTGATGAGCTGGCTACAGTGACCCATGCGATGGTTACCTCAAGACTAAACTACTGTAACTCTCTCTACATGGGGCTGCCCTTGCTGCAAATCCAGAGGCTGCAACTAGTGCAGAATGCCGTGGCCATCCAACCTGTGTTGAAGGCACTGCACTGGTTGCCAATAGCATACCGAATCCACTTCAATGTGCTGGTATTGACCTTTAAAGTCCTATATGGCCAGGGTCTGACATACCTGTGGGACCACCTTTCCCGAAATATACCCCAGTAAGCACTACGGTCAGGAACACAACATCGACTGACCGTTCCCGGCCCTAAGGACACTAGGCTTGCAGCCGCCAGGGCCTTTTCAGTGGCAGCTCCACACTGGTAGAATGAGAAGAGAGGGCCCTGCGGGACCTTTTGCAGTTCTGCAGGGCCTGCAAGATGGAGCTCTTCCACTAGGCTTTCAATTAGGAGCCGCCACTCCATCACCACCACCACCATCTGTGGTTTTGGGTCGTCTCTGGTCCTGGGGAGGGTTTGCGTTATATCATCGCACCAAGCTGAAGATCACCAATGTCAATGAAAATTGTTAGTACACCATCTGAATCATTCAAAGATTACCATCAAAAGAGTACCATCACTAGCACATTAAATTGTTAATTGTTTGATTGTTTTTAATGTTTAATGTTGTTGTAAGTTGTTTAAATTTTGTACATGGTTTTTATGGTACAGGGTACTAATTACTGTAAGTAATATGTACTTTTCATATACACAATAGTAGTACCATTTTAAAAAAGCAAAATGGACATGAGTAAAGATCACATGTAGTCAGGGTGTCCGGGTCCCCCACAGCTATAAGTTCAATACATGTTTATACAAAGTAGTATTTTATTAAAGCCATGATAGAGCAGGAACAAGTTCACTGTCCAAAATACCTGGGCCAGGGTGGGCAAGGAATAATGTAATGCATTCAAACAGGACAATAACCAATAATTTTGGTTCCCACCGAGCGGCCAGACTCCTGGGTTCGCGCTCAAAAGCCTGAGAATCAACGTTTCCAAATACATAAACAATTACAGCTTCACACGGTTGTAGTTCGTTATACTTCAAGCTAAGTGGCGCCTCCACACACCTGCTAATCTTGCTGATAAGCGTTGCCTAGCGTTTACAGACAGGAATGCATGACACAAGGCAATATACGGGGAGGACAGGACATGCGCAGATGCCTGGCTGGTGGGGGCGGGGGGCGGACTACTGATACACAGTCTTCTATGGCAGCTAGCTGACACAGGGCCAGCCTAAGGGTGTTTTGACACCCTGGATGAACAATGTGTTTGGTGTGTATCTTCTCCCTCCTCCACCAATGTTTGATATTTTCTTTTATAAGAGATAAAATGAGAGGGGGAGAGAGAGGGAGAGAAGGAGGGAGGAAATGAGGGAGGGAGAGACCCTATGTATAAGTAGAATACTTTATTAACATTCACAACATTGTTTAACTTAAAAAATACAGTGAATCAGCAATGTAAAAAGTGGTGAAGTACTAGAACAAAATGTAATCACCAAAACTGGCTTAAGTTTATTTATTGTTGACAGCTAAAGGCAATCTTAGCATAAGAAATAACAGAAATTTAAAAAATAAAAACCAAATTGATTCTGATTGATTCAAATTAATCTATTACCCATCATGCCATAAGAAATCTATAACACTGTTGTACTCAGCATTTGCAGTATTCATCATACTTTAACATCATTCCAAGCTTTGTCCTTGCTACACTCTCTTCAAATTTTCTATCCATTTCTTCATTTTGGTCTTCTGAGAAGATATTCTTCCAGTCACCCACTATGCCTGCAAATGTAAAGTATAATAACTATTACAGTGAAAGAGAGAAAATTCTCTTCCTTGAATGTGACACTATTGTTTCATGGCTACTATAGTTTTTCCTTCATACCCACCCCTATGGCTTTGTTTCCTCCTTTGACTGTGCTGTGCAATATAAGGTAACACACCCTTCTGATAGAAAGCTAGTATATCTGACCTTTTCTTCTTTTTGTAACGATTTCCTCTCCCCCTGCCTTTCTTGTTTATAGCTTTCTGAACATATCTCTGCCAACAGAGGTGCACAAAAGATTATGGTACAAACAACAGAGACAGTGTGATAAAATGTTGTCAAATTAGAACCAGAGAGAGCAAGGTATGGATGTGCACTAAAAAAAGGTCATAGTTTCAGATCTGGATTTAAGATAGAGCATTGTTTTCATTATCCTGATTCTTGGAACTGTTACAGGTTCTAGACCCCCCCCCCCCGGTTTTTTTACAGGGAGCCCCC